ACACAACTGGACATGGAGTGAACTAGTTCTTCAGGTGAACTGGACATGGAGTGAACTAGTTCTTCAGGTGAACTGGACATGGAGTGAACTAGTTCTTCAGGTGAACTGGACATGGAGTGAACTGGTTGGCCCTTACTTGTTCTGCTCAGCGTAAATGGTGGCCAGTTTTCAGAGACATCTCAATGACAGCGTTGTCGTCCTGGAGACAGACAGGAAGTGAGGTGGAGTTTTCAGCCAAATGGACGATCAAACGCTGAAGCAGCTCAGAACACCTGGGCAGGTGAGGGGAGCTTACCTCTGGAGTTCCTCCAGCGAGCATGTAGCTCATGGCTGCTTTGAAGAGCTTCTCTGCCTGAGAGGAAGAGGAGCAGAGATGAAGATGAGGAGAACCAGCTGACCAGAACCAACCTGGATTGGACTGGGCTGTACTCACACTGTCCAGATGACCCTGAACGTAGGCCAGGTTCGCCATCTGAGGAGGACGCAGCTGATCATTCAGTTAGTGATGACACAGAGGTCAGTCAGAGGTCAGTCAGAGGTCAGTCAGAGGTCAGACAGAGGTCAGTTTGAGGTCAGACAAAGGTCAGTTAGAGGTCAGTCAGAGGTCAGACAGAGGTCAGTCAGAGGTCAGTCAGAGGTCAGTTTGAGGTCAGACAGAGGTCAGTCAGAGGTCAGTCAGAGGTCAGACAGAGGTCAGTTTGAGGTCAGACAAAGGTCAGTTAGAGGTCAGTCAGAGGTCAGACAGAGGTCAGTCAGAGGTCAGTCAGAGGTCAGTTTGAGGTCAGACAGAGGTCAGTCAGAGGTCAGTCAGAGGTCAGTCAGAGGTCAGACAGAGGTCAGTTTGAGGTCAGACAGAGGTCAGTCAGAGGTCAGTCAGAGGTCAGACAGAGGTCAGTCAGAGGTCAGTCAGAGGTCAGACAGAGGTCAGTCATAGGTCAGTCAGAGGTCAGACAGAGGTCAGTCAGAGGTCAGTCAGAGGTCAGTCAGAGGTCAGACAGAGGTCAGTCAGAGTCAGTCAGAGGTCAGACAGAGGTCAGACAGAGGTCAGTCATAGGTCAGTCAGAGGTCAGTCAGAGGTCAGACAGAGGTCAGTCAGAGGTCAGTCAGAGGTCAGACAGAGGTCAGACAGAGGTCAGTCAGGTCACCTGGCTGTAGGTGTAGATGATGGCCTGGTTGTTGTGCGTCTGCTGAGCGAGAGCGACGGCCTGATGGAAGAAGGACGAAGCCGCCTGCAGATTTCCTCGATGGACGCTGAGCTGCAACAGGAAGTGGACGGTTAGCGTGACGAACTGGACCTGCGAGACTCGTCGCTCTGGTCCAGATGACCCGGGTCAGCGTGAGATTTGTCGGTTCCCTCTGAGCGAATCCGGCCGCAGAGGTGCTTCCTGCAGACCCGACGGGTCTCCGGTTCTGGATGACCAAAGGTCGGGCTCGGTTCCGAACATCCCGCCTCGAGTCCGGTCCCGGTTTCTGGGTCACCCGGCTCGTCTCAGCTGACATGGGAACACTGAACTTCCTGTGGCTGTTTGTCTCGGTTCCGGTCGGGTCCAGATTCTGGTACCTTGGCTTTCTTCAGCAGCAGAATGATGTCGTCCTCCTTCCTCTGAGCTTCGTCCCTCTGGTCCTCATCGGTGGAGCGGAACAGGGAGAACGCTGCAGGGCAGCAGACAGAGAGGTCAGAGGTCAGCAGCAGACAGAGAGGTCAGCAGACTGAGAGGTCAGAGGTGAATCCCCAGGTTTCTGACAGGTGAATGACTGAACGTACCGACTGCCGCCCACAAACCTCCTCTCTTCTTCGGTGGCATTTTGTGCCGTCTTCACGTCTGCTTTCAGCTTCCCAGCATGCTGTGCGGCGTCCCGCTTCAGGAACAACCCGAGCAGAGGTCAAAGGCCACCTGTAGGGGCGGTAAGCTGTTAATGCAGGCGGTCCAGGTGCCCAGGTTCCCTGCAGTGGATGAGGTATTGATACGTCATCAAAATTAATAAATGCTAGAGCCAATCAGAAACCGCCATGAGAAGCTGCTGCTGTTGGTCGGTACTGACCTGAAGCCTCCAGAACATCTGGACCGGCTCAGAGTTCGGCTGAGGACGGCTCGGAGCAAACAAGAAGCCGCCATCTTTACTATTTATATAATCAACGGAAGTCATGTTGTGCATTGCCGCACCTTCAAAATAAAAGCCTTAAAATCCACATTTCCGCTGATTTTCAGCAAATAATTAAAAATAATTGTTTTCTTCCTCCGAACTTATTTGAGTTCATTTCGGTAGAATTTCTGAAAGCAGAACCCATCAGAACCAGAGGTAAACATCCAGCAGGAGAAACATTAGACAAGGAAACACTAAGAGTGAACCAGACAAGATCAATGCAGCATGTGTTAAATTTCTAAAGGAAATGGAATTCTATTGATATAAGATTTTTTTTTAAGCAGAAGAGAAAAACCCGTGTTCCTCACTCCAGACTGGAGGTGGCGATAAGAGGACGTCACTTCCATTAAACTCAAGAAGAAGCGAACCAGAGCTAGGAGGTTGAAGTAGTTTTTTTTTGGTTCTGAACTGTTCAGGGTGTAGATTCGTTAACCGGGTCAGAACCAGGCAAAACCCATCCTGGTTTGAATGCTTTCAGCATGAAGAAGTAACTCTGACCGACCCGGTTCTGTCTCAGTCAGCAGTGAAGGTCAGACATGGAGCGGGTTCAACCTGCGGTCCAGAACCAAACACGGTGCTACTGGTCTGAACCACAGGTCCAAAATAAACCACATCAGGCTCAGCTGATCAGACCTATGACCTCTGACCTTCAGCTGTCTCTCTGGAAGACAGAACTGCAGTGAGGTCATGGATCCAGAACAGAACTGGGTCCAAACATTCAAGACTTTTTAATGGTAGCAGCAAATACTGGTCCAGTGGCCAGATTCCTGGTTCTGATCCGGTCCTGTTACATCTGCAGAACCAGGAATAAAGGCAATCTCCGAGCTGAAGAGGAACCACTCCGACTCTTTATTCTGCCTGGTTCAGTCCAGTTGGACCCAGGTTGGTCCCGGGTTGGTCCAGTTTGTCCAGCTGAGGACTGCTACAGTGTGCTGACCTTCCTGGAGTTCTGCTCAGCAGAACCAGCTGTGCTCTTGGCCCAGAACCGGCTCACTGGGCCGGCCGGTGGTCCGTGAACCTCTTCAGGTGGAACCTCAGGACTCCTTTGGTCTTGAAGGTCTTGCCGCAGCTGCAGACATGCGGGCGCTCGCCGGTGTGGTCCAGCTGGTGCACGCGCAGCAGGGAGCTGGTGAAGAAGAACTCGCCACAGGTGATGCAGTAGTGGTTCTTCGCCGGTGTGCGCGGCGCGCTGGTGGGTCAGCAGTGAGCCGGATGTGATGAAGGTCCGGCCGCAGTCGCGGCAGCCGAAGGGGCGCTCGCCGGTGTGAATCCTCTCGTGGGCCCTCCAGGAGTTGTGGTAGGAGAAGGCCTTGTCGCAGTAGGAGCACTGGTAGAGCTTCTCTTTAGTGTGGCTGAGCCGGTGCATCTTCAGATAGTGAGCGATGGTGAAGCTCTTGCCGCAGTCGGCGCAGCTGAACGGCTTCTCGCCCAGGTGGAACAGCTTGATGTGAGAGTTCAGGTGGACGACTGGGTGAACCTCTTGCCGCAGGTGGTGCAGAGGAAGGGCCGCTCGCCGGTGTGGTGACCATGTGGGCCTTGAGGTGCGGCGCCTGCGTGAACCTCTTGCCGCACGCGGCGCAGCCGTACGGCTTGAGGCCCGTGTGCGTGCGGTCGTGCAGCTTCAGGCCCTGCAGGCTGGAGAAGCACTTGCTGCATTCGGAGCAGCGGTACTCCCTCAGCTCCTGGTGGACGCGCTGGTGGCTGCGCAGGCCACCCAGCAGCTTGAAGCCTTTCCCGCAGGTGGGGCAGGTGTGCGGCTTCCTGCTGGAGTGGGTGGCCTGGTGGACCTTCAGGCTCTGAGGGTTGCTGAAAGTCTTGGAGCACTTGAGGCATGGCAGGCGCTTGGAGGTCTTGTGCGCCCGGCGGTGGAAATTGAAGCCCTGGTAGGAGACGAACATCTTGTCGCAGATGTCACAGTGGTAGGACCGCTCCCCCTGGTGGGCCTCCAGGTGCTCGTCCAGCTGGTTCTGCTGGCCAAAGCCGTCCCCACAGAACCAGCACTTGAAGGGCTTGATCCCGGAGTGGGTCCGGTGGTGAGTCTTCCAGTCCCGCTTCAGGGCGAAGGTGCGGTCGCAGTAGGAGCAGCGGTAGGGCTCGCTGCGGCCGTGGACCTGCTGGTGCAGCACCAGGCTCATCAGGGTCGGGTAGGTCTTCCCACACTCCCAGCACTGGTTGGGGTTCTGGCCCCGGTGGGTCCAGGTGGGCCTCCAGGTGAGCCAGCTTGTAGAAGCCCCGCTGGCACATGGGGCAGTACGCCATCCTCCTGCCGCTGTTGGTGGCGCGCCACGGCCGCAGCTCAGGATGGTCATCTGAGGAGGAACAGAGGTCAGAGGTTACGGACCTGAACCGGTTCTGAGGAACCCTGCGGCCTCAGACCACAAACCGACTCCGCAGAACAGGAAGTCAGAACCAAACTGACCCAACAGAAGCCTCACCCAGAGACAGGAAGTCCCGCCCCTCCAGCCACGCCCTGCAGTCAGTCAGCTTGACGCTCAGCTTCTTCAGGAGAGGGAAGCATTGGATCGCCACGTCATCCCTGGTTCTGGTTTGTCTGCCATATCTGCTGGAAAGAACCAGCAACCATATCCTGGAACAGAACCAGAACCTTCATCAGAACCAGATCTGAGGAGTTGTTGGATCTGATTGGTTGGTAGAAGTGAGGCTGAGGCCAGTTCCTAAAAAACAGATGTCGTCCCTCCATCAAACTATACCTGGCACCATGCGGTCAGACTGCTGTGCTAGAGTCAGTGACCTCTGACCCCAGCCTCAACTCCAGACGGTGTGTCCTCCTCCTGCTGGGTCAGGTTCCTGGAACCAGTCTGGTTCTGTTGGATCGGTTTCTACGAAGATTGACGACTACCTGATGATTCTGGTTCTCAGAACCAGCCCAGGATCCTGCAGGTCTTAGTTCTCTCCATGGTTCAACACGGCTGGAACCGCCTCTGAACGGCATCTGGACCACCAGAACCAGACCAGCAGTCTGGGTCTCGTGTCTGGTTCCTATCCTAATAAAACATCAGTTCTGCAGAACCTGATCAGAACCAAGGTTGTTCTTTAACTTGAATCAGTCGGGTCAGACAGACTGACTGGATTCTGACCGGAACCGGGCCGGTACCGACGGATCAAGCATTCACACACCAGCTGCCAAACCGACCCGACTAACTGTGTGTTGGCTGGCAGCCAATCATGTCATCGCATGATGTAAACCTGATCATCACCTCGGTGTTTGTATGATGACGTCAGAGCCAGAACCTGTAGACCAGGGTCTCAGACTGGAGGCCCGGCATCCTGCATGTCTCAGTCTGTCCTGGTACCGACAACCTTTTCAGAACATTAATGTTCTTCTCGGGCCTCTAATGGGCCGGTGGATCAGGAGCGTAAAGTGGGAGACTGAAACATGCAGGATGCCCACTCTGGGCCCTCAGGGACCCCACTCAGGTCCCGCCTAAAGGGTCTCAGGCTCAGAGCAAGCTGCAAGTTCCGCCCAAACCGGATCGACAGAACCGTGAAGAAAGCACCGTGAGATCAGCCCGGCAGCTGCAGCTCCCACCAAACTCCATTCATTTTCCGGCTGTTTTTAGCTTCCGCCTCCAGCACCGAAGGAGCTTCAGGTCCAGGTTCTGTTAGTTGGTTCGGTGAAAGGTTCTGCATATCTGAAGCGGTCGGGTGATAGGAGCCAAGGTTCGGTACAACTAAACTGGATCCAGAATCGAGTCAAAGCTTATCTGTCGTTTTCTGAATGGAGTTTGGTGAAGCGGTTAGCTTAGTTCCTCCAGAGTTCTGACCCGGTTCCGAGGTCCGAACCAGCTCCTTACCTGTGAAACCGGGTCGGTCTGCATCCCTCCGGGTCTACCACCGGGTTTGTGTTCGAATGATAAACGAGAACCGATTCTGGAGCAGTTCCGGGACAAAGGTCACACCGCCCCTATACCAGACTCCGGTCAGCTTTCAGCTGATTTGGGGTTCGGCTGCTCTCACACAGAACAGAACCGGTTCTGACCCAACAGAATCATAGAGCTCCCTTCCGGTATCCCCGCGTCTCCTCTGTTGAGCTCAGAACCAGCTGTGTTCTGAAAGGTGCCAACGAGTCAGAACTGGGTCCATTTTGAACCACTGGGGGCGCCATAGGCTTTGCTGGCCAACCTGGAAACAGTAACAGAGCAGCTTCTTCTCTGGACAGAAGACAGGAGCACAACAGCTGGAGTCGCCCCCCTCCCCAGCTTGTTGCTGATCCAACAGTTTTAACGGTCTCCAAGTCTAAAGTTTCTCCAGAGCTCAGAAGGTTCTGAGGTTCCTCCGTGGAGACAGAACTGGATCCAACAGAAGGCGGAAAGCCGCCAATAATGTTAAGACAGACTGGGAGATTATTTCATAAACGTTATTCACAGTGACAGACTGGCGACCCGTCCAGGCGACTCGTCCAGGCGACTCACCTCTTGCCTGGAACGTTGCTGGAGAGGCAGCAGCTCCTCCGCACCCACTGGGACCAGGGGTGAGAAAATGGATGGATGTTTATTCAGAGAACGTAACGTTACAGAACCAATCAGAACACGTTTCCAGGACCAGGGTTCTAACAGAACCAAGCTTCAACTCTTATTAGTGGAAGGAAAATCTTTTTGGGTTTCATTAAAATGTTTTAGGAGATCCGGCCAGCAGCTCCATAACCATCAGAGTAGAACAAACCGCTGACCCGGTTGGTCTTATTCTAGAAGAGGAGCCAGCCTGAGGGGGAGAGTCATCAGCTGAGCCCTAAAAGCTGGCTTCCTATTGGCTCCCAGGGTGACACGATCAGCAGTCAGTTTGCTTCAGTGTGTTGTTCCCTGAACGGAAAGTTGTTTGAGCCAGACATAAAGAAAGAAAGACAAAAAAAAAGCATACAAGTTCCAATTATAAACATATAAAATTGAATTATAACTCACAATTAGTTCTCCATCTGCTGCTTTGTATCCCAGGAGACCTCCAGCCAGCAGGAGGCGCTGCAGCTCCAGATGTAAATCAGGCCGAGTTTTGCTTCCTGAGCCCATCGACAAATAAAAATGTCATCAAGGAGAAGTTGAGCCAGCATAACATTTAAGAAGTTTTTTTTCTAAACACTTAGTTTCTAACCATGAATTCACAGAAAAGCTTCAGATTAAAAGTTTCCTGTTTTTCACGCCAAAACTTTTCATATTAACCGCCAGCTTATCACTGATTTTGATCCCAAATATTTGTAGTTTGCAAATAACTATTTCTATTGTGTTAATAAAACGTGGGATTCAACTTTCATATCTGTTTTTGTAACACTTAGATTTAAATTAATCTCGGTGGGGATCAGATGAACGCTTCGGTCAGTCTTTGTCACGGCGCCGCGCTCTGACAACCAGCTGCCTGAGGGTGGCGCTACAATTCGGCCTTTTGTTCACATCATCTCCCAGTAGGCTCCGCCCACGCAGTCACGTCACAACACTCACCTGTGCAACAGAGTCACATCACAAAGGTGGGTCAGGTGAGGAATCGGGGAGCGCCGACCAGCCCGGATCAGAACACGCCCGGTCCGGTTATGTCACAGCCCCGCCTCTGTGAACAGACTGCTGGGGGCGGAGCTTCAGTCGGCCTTTTGTTACATCACTTCCAGGTGGGCGGCGCTCCACGTCACACATCAGTTCTGCAGAACCAGGACAGGTTCAGCAGAACCGCTGCAGGAACTGGACCCTGAACATCACAGACATAAGAGAGTAGACCCACAGTGACTTAGATTTGTTTTATTGTCATATTTCACAGAAGTGAAATTGGCAATGAAATGTCATGGCTTGGCCACCGGAGCAAGAATGCAAAAACACAAGTGTGCTAATAATTACATGACATACAAATAATAATGTATTGCTAAATATGTAACTTGGTATTTTCAAGCAGTCTTAGTGACGGGATTGATGAGCAATCTGATGGCCAGTCTGGCTGTTCTGCAGCGGATGCTACAGAACCTCCACCCAGGCGCCAACCGGATGAGGATGGTGGAGTCAAAGAGGATCTGGTGATCTCTGGTCCTGACGATCCCGACTGCTGTCTTCACCACGCCGCAGAGACTTCCAGTCTGACAAGTTGCAGTTCCCAGACCAAATGGAGATGCTGCTGGTCAGCAGGATCTCAGTTACCCTCTGCAGAAGGTGGAGAAGATGGGAGGAGGAGGGAAGTCTTTCTCATTCATTTCGGAAAGTGCAGGCGCTGCTGTGCCTTTTTCCAGTGAAGTGATGCAAGTTGTCCAGGCGAGGCCGTCTGTGTGATCGCTGACGATCTCCACCGATGAGGAGAGGAGTGTGGTTGGGTCCAGACCTCCTCAGTGATGTCTTTGGTCTTGTTGAGTTTAGGAGCAGGTTGTTGATTCTGCACCAGTCCCACCCTAACATGGCTGCAGGAAACACGGCGGCCATCTGACTAAGCCGAAGCAGCAGAAGCCTCAGCACTGCGGATACTTTGTTCACATCAATGGACTATTATTTAACTTTCATATTGTTGATATTTTATCATCAGAATATTACTATACTGTGTTTTATGTCCACTGGTGAAATGCGGGTTCAGCCCTGCTAGGAAGGCTCACCCAGATTTAGTGGAAAGTTTGAACATTTTTAATATGGACTTAGATTATCACAGAGCCTACCTTAGAAATAAAACATTATGAGAAAATATTGCATGGTTTAACATTCACCAGTGAAAACTTTTTTCTGATTTGTGAAACTTTACTTCACAGCCCACTGCAGAAGGTTTTTCCTTCCACAGCCATCACCATCTACAATAACTGAAGAATTAATTAGTTATACCAACATTTAATTTCCCATGAGATTAATAAAGTGGTTTTGAATTTGTGCTGGAACAGTGTGAATAGTAATCTAAACTTGAGTGAAATTTCATAAATCCCAAACATGGATCTAAATATTGTGTTTTAGAGCAGAAGAGTCCAGTCCAGGTTTGAAGAGTCCAGTCCAGGTTTGAAGAGTCCAGTCCAGGTTTAAAGAGTCCAGTCCAGGTTTTAAAGAGTCCAGTCAGGTTTAAAGAGTCGAGTCCAGGTTTAAAGAGTCCAGTTTTGCAGTTTTTAAACTAGAATCCATTAAAGATGGAAGGTAGTGAAATGAGGTGGAATCGCCCTTTAGCCATTTTCCGAATCGGAACCAGTTCTGTAGGTGACAGCAGCTGCAGCGTTGAACCGCGTTGAAACCAGGACCAGGTCGCCATTAAAACAATTAACCTGTTTTCTGTCTATCTTGTCGCGTAAGCAAAACTGACAGCTGTTGTCCTGTCTAATGCGCATGCGTACTCAGAAAACGTATGGTAGAAGTACGCTGACCTGACAAAACACCTGTCTGGCTCCAGTCGTTCTCTTCAAAGAACCGGCTCTAAGAACCGAAACGTTCGCGACTGACTTATCACTAACCAAATCAGCTCACCTGGAGAAGAACCCAGGACCGGCTGGTTCCAACACATCGGCCCGGTCCAGTTGATGTAGCTGGCCTTTGCTAGCAGTTAGCATCCTGCGGTACTTCAGTCACTGCTCCCCGGAACAGCAGAGAAAGGCCACAGGAAATTGTGTGGAAGCCTCCCCGCCAGACTAGAACTGGATCGGAACCGAAGTCAGGTAGTCTGAAAGTCATCGGTCTGCGACCCAAACAGGTTCTGAACGGTTTGAATTCAACCACGCCGCCAGCCTCGTGGTAGAGCTCCGTCCAAAGCGTCGCTGCGTCGCTGCTGCTTCTTAATGGCGGAAACAAACTTGCCGCCACCTAGTGGCGTGGAGCTTCTTTTACACCAAGGTCCTTGTACATTTAAAATACATTTAAAACCTGATATCGGGTTAACAAGTCATCACTGTCTTCCTCTTTTAACCATATTTATTTCTTTGAAGCTCACTTTTGAGTATTTATTAAATATAACATTAAATGTTTATCTTGCCCACAAAAACTACAATTTCCAGCGTCATTATTCATCCTCCAAGTTATTAGCCCTGTATGGAAAATCTGATTCCTGATATAAAATCTCTTTATTATTCTAGAACTTATCCTAAGATTAGGATCCACCTATGCTCTGAAAATTATAATATCTACTGTCCCTTTGCATGCCTTTTTCTTTACCTCATCTTTGCTGTATTTCTGTTACTGTTTCAAACTTATCAGGCATTTTATTCCATCTATATCAACATGTGCAAAAATCCATATCAGTTCATTTCCATTCCTCTGTTTATTGTATTTAGTAAGATTTGTGATTTTTCAAAGCACTGCAGAACTGCTAGAAAACACAGAAACATCTTAGATAGCACACTGGCTAAACCTGGGGGACAAAAAATGTCCTATTTAGTTTGCTAGTTTTATCTTTTGGCTCTAATATAACAGCTAAACCTGAGTTTAAAAAAGTCCTGGACTAAAAACCCATAAAACACAAAACAAGCAGGAGAATTTTCTGCTTCACAACTTTAGTTGTTCTGCAGACAAATCATCCATAACAAACATTATTGTTTCACGGGCAAAATAAATGGATACCAGGAGTAATTGGTTCCTAATTAGTTCCCTGAGTTTATGAGTTCAGCATCTTTATCGGAGGAGAATAACGTGACAAAAGAAAAGAATGAAAAGACCACATATTACGAAGCCCTCAAGGGGACATGGGAATTTTTTAGTTTTGCGTTCTCTCACAATATGCTTACTGCAATATTTGCCGGTCAATTTTGTGTACAGGCAAGAATGTCAATTCAAATATGTATATGTTTCACATATACATATTGAAAGAGCCGACACAGTGGTTGAGGGCCGCTCTGGGTTAACTCGGGGAATCTCATCTGTCCAAGTGTCAATCATCTCCAGGCGTGATTATCGATTTGTTCCATTTTGGTTATCATGCTTCAAACTTTATAAGGACTGCAACACAAACTGACCAGGCCAAACTGCATAAGATCCGCTTCCACACACACAACGCCATTCACCTTCCCATTCATACCTGGTAACGTCACCAGGTATGTGTTGGACCTGTCAATTATGACAAGTGCTGTCCTGTCATATCAATTATTACTTATTTCATTCATGGACCTTCCAGAGCCTCAGTGAAAACATGTTTATTATTATTAACTGTTTGGTGCAAAAAACTGAACGAAACTCGATTTATTCACTGCATGTTTATCTCTGTTAAGGCTGAGATGAAACTGCACAGGAGAACGGCCCTTTAAACCATTCAGATGCGACAGAGACGCAATCAGAACTGTGTCATTACCAGGAGAAGAACTCAGAAATAGTCCAAATAGTTTGGATGTATTTTTATTTCTTTCTTTTTTACATAAAGTTTCTGTTTATATCATAGATTTGTGGTGCCTTTCTATATAAAACTTCAGATATTTCACAACGAGATATTAACATTCACGGAAAAACCTTCATAACCTTACATTAAGGCAGAAAGTCGACGGCCCCCAGTCCTGGACCATTCCTGGAGCAGTCCTGGAGCAGTCCTGGAGCAGTCCTGGACCAGTCCTGGAGCAGTCCTGGACGGCCCCCAGTCCTGGACGGCCCCCAGTCTTTTTAGCAGAGCCTCTGCTGCACCTGAATAGAATAATGAGGTCACTAAGGCTCTGGAGATCTGGTCCACAGCAGGAGGTCATGAAGCCGTTTTGTTCCTGTGTTTTGACTCATCTAAAACCTGCAGGATTGCAGTTTGACACCCCTGGCTTACAGTGTTCAGTTATGCCGCGAACTGATCAGTACATTATTGCGAGAGAACGCAAAAGACAAAAAATTCCCATGGCCCTTAGAGGCCTCCGTCGTGCAGTAGTAAATAGTAGCTTCAAATGCTAGAAAGATGTTTTTCCCGGGCTTTTTAAATTGGAAACCTGCTGATTGCGTTTTTTCCTGACAGTCCCTGAAGGTATCATTCTGACCGTTAGAAACGTTGATGTTTGCAGAACATCAACGTTTTTAGGTTAGTTTTTGGTCCAATTGGTCGTACAGTGACCGAGACAGGAGAAACATGGAAGGTACCGACGACGAGCGGTTAGAACCGATCCGGATCTTGGTCCAACGGAGCTTCAGGCTGGACCCGGACACATGGGGGGAGTTTGTGTCGGAGAGCAGCATCAAGACGGTGCTGACCAGGTTTATGAGCAGCCCGGACTCTCAGCTGTTCTTCCACCTGCAGCCGGACTCCGGGCTCCAGGCCAGCCTCGGCCTGCCCTCGGCGGCCCAGTCCAAGGTTGTGTGCGTGTCCCGGGCGGCGCAGGAAGGCTCTGGGAAAGCCTTCAGGATCCAGGAGTTTAGCGGAGGAAAGGCTCTGAGTGGCCTGGTAGGCCTCAGCGAGGAGGTATGCTAATGCTAATGCTAATAGCCCCAAATCATCCAAAACTGGCACTTGTGGCAGTTTATAATTCAACCAGCCAACAGGAACACAGATTAGCAACACATTTCTGATTTAAATTTTTGGATTTAGAAAGATGCATTTAAAATTACTCAAATTGAGCAACCTAAACTTTAATTGCAATAAACATTTGACACACAGACAGCAGGACCAGAGGACTAAAGTCTCAGATCAGAGTAACACATCCAGGCTTTGAGTCCTGCAGCAGATCTGACTGACAAACCAACGGTCCAGAACAAGTCCAGCTCTCTGCAGCTAACAGGAAGGGGATCTGACCGCTGTCACTCCCAGACCTTATATGGAAATGGGACCATTGTACTCCGGAAGTGAAAGAGGGGGCTATTTCCTATGTAATCCGCGGTCTCCCGTTTTTATTTTCTATTGAAATCTAGTATATAGTTTAATCTTTCGGAAGGCATTTTAAATTTGAGTGATTTTAAATTCACTTAAATTTTAAGTAAATTTAGCCTTGCTCTAAAGCACGGCTAACAGTGCGGCTAGCAGTACGGCTAACAGTGCAGATAACAGTACGGCTAACAGTGCAGCTAGCAGTACGGCTAACAGCCAGCTAGCAGTGCGGTGAACAGTGCAGCTAACAGTGCAGATAACAGTACGGCTAACAGTGCAGCTAGCAGTGCGGCTAACAGTGCAGCTAGCAGTGCGGCTAAAAAAACCCTTTGCTGTCAACTTTGACGTGGCGTCTCAACGACGTTCCGCAGCTGCTGCTTTAAGGACCTCGGAGTGTTTTAACGCACAGTTTTACTGCCAAAGTTTTAATTTACATGTTTTATATTATTTATACTTTTTGTTAAGACTCTTATTTTGGAGGATTAAGGTAGGAAGTAGAATCTGGGTTATCAGGTTACCAGAAACGCTTGCAATATAACAGCATCACGTTGGCAAGCAAATGAAGAAACATGATTTAAGTTTAAGAATTTACTGAATGACCTCATTTCTACATCAAAAGGAAGGGTCAGCCAGAGGTATGTTTATATGTTTTATGTTATTTTTATGTCGATATTGTATTCTTGACACCATCTCACTAAGTTTACGTTGTGTTTTAGTTCGTGGTGTCAGGGAAACTGAAGCTGTAATAAGAACAACTTTAAAGAGTTTCATTAAAGCTGACTTCACACCAGCAGTGCCACAAACTTAATTGCCAAAAAGAAGAAGAGTTGGAAGTGATACATAGTGTTACGTTTTGAACTAAATGCAACAACAGGACTGATACTCTCAGCAACTATTTGATCTTCTCTCTTTGATTTACTTCAGTGCAGGTCACAGTTTTAAAAAAAATTCTGTCGCTTTCTGTGCTCTTCTAAATCTGCTCCTCAGTCGCATCTTTGTGGGCGTGCTACTGCCTCTAGTGCCGTGGGGTGGTACACAGCTAATTAATTACATTACTGAATCAGAATACCACAAAGTCTTTATTATCTACTATTATTTCAGCATTACTGGCATGTAAAATATTAATTCCCTCACAAAAGAACATATCGTTTCATTTTTTAAGGCAGTAGAGCTAAGTTAATGAGATATACAAAACCTGAAAGAGATTCCAGTTTCACTTAATGGCCAACCTGTTGAAACTGTGGCAAATTTTAAATTCTTTGTGTCGTTGCTGTTGAGTCAGCTCAACTTTGCTGAAAACACTTATTATTTTCCTATTTTAAGAACTGTTCTCAGAGACTCCATCTTTCAAGAAGATCTAGCGATCTTGGGGTGTACAACCTCTAGATAGAGGTCGTTGAGTTAAAATGTTAAAACTTAACGTTCTAACTTAAGTTTAAACTTAGCTCAAGTTAAGTTTTAACTTTTCATCTCCTCAGCTGGTTTGTTCACATGAGCTGGAGATTAACAGACAATCTTAAGAAAACTGTCACTGGCAGGTAAAACAACAGGTCAAAGGTTGTGAAACCATTTTTATTAGAGTTGATCATGTAGTGTTTCATGTCTCCTTGTTTTGTTGTCCTATAATTGATGGAGTATGCAGATATTATTTATCATGTGTAAAAGTATTGTTTTATATCATTTAATTAGCTCTACATCCTTAAGAAAATGGAAAAAAAATGCCTTGTTGTTGAAATGTGCTACACAAATAAAGTTGAACTTTCATACAAAGTGGATAAATAAATAAAAACTGTTAGTAGCTCAAACAAAAAAAGCCAGAAAACTAAATGAATGTGTTGCAAGATGAAAAATGATTGGAGTCCAATAATGTCTGCAGTCAAAGTGCGTCTCCAGCTACAGACATGTCCCCTATGCCCCCAGGTGTCCTGCCCCCTCCTCAGCAGGGCGGCGGACAGGAGCAAGTGGGCGGTGGGGCGTGGTCCAGGACGCCATGAAGCTGCTGGAGAAGCAGAGAAACGCCGCTCAGGTGGTGGAGGCTAAGGTGGAGGACTTACCTTCCTTCCTCCACCTGACGCGCTTTGTAACCAGGAGGACCTCGACCGCTTCTCGCACACTGTAGCCCTGATCAGGGAGGTGCTTTTCATGACGACATCAGCGACACCAGCAGGCTGGTTCAGGACCATTCTCAGAAAATCTCAGCCATCACCGGCAGCAACATCTCCGATGACCAGCACGACGATTTGGCCGAAGACTCTGGCAGTGTCCATGAGAACGGTTGTCATGTGGACCAAAATGAACAGTAAGACAACTGACTCCACGTGTAGTTAGTGTGAGACACTGTGTGTGAGGGTGTGTGGGTGTGGGTGTGGTGGGTGGGTGTGTGAGAGTGTGTGGGTGGGTGTGTGAGTGGGTGGGTGTGTGTTTGGGTGTTTGTGGGTGTGTGTGAGTGTGGTGGGTGTGTGTTTGGGTGTTTGTGGGTGTGTGTGGGTGGGTGGGTGTGTGAGAGTGTGTGGGTGGGTGTGTGTGGGTGTGTGTGGGTGGGGTGTGTGTGTGGGTGTTTGGGGTGTGTGTGGTGTGGGTGTGTGTGTGTTGTGGGTGTGTGTTTGGGTGTGTGTGTGAGTGTGTGGGTGGTGTGTGTGAGAGTGTGTGTGTGTGTGTGTGTGTGTGAGGGTTTGTGAGTGTGTGGGTGGGTTGTGTGTGTGTGGGTGGTGTGTGTGTGAGTGTGTGGGTGAGTGGGGGTGTGAGTGTGTGTGGGTGAGTGTGTGTGTGTGTGTGTGAGTGAGTGGGTGTGTGTGTGTGTGCAGACCTTTTGTTGTCTGCCAGTTTTGACTGATGCCATAAAAACAATATCATCATATTCTGTTTTTTATGACACAGGCTCTTCAGTTGCATTTTATTTTCATTCGGTTGTTTTTTCAACAGCTGAACAGAGAATCTCATCATCTCACAGATGCATATATGAACTTTTTTTCTGTGCTAATAACTTCATACAAACAATGAAATAAAGGCCTTACTTACATTATGAGCTTCACTGCTGCGGCCTGAACCACATCCTCAACTTCTTCCTTCATCTGGAGGAGAACTAACCGTCCACCTGACCGACCCATCCAACTGTAATTAACTTTAATTAGAGGCCAAGGCTAATCCCCACAGATTAATTGGATTAAGATTTAATGCTTCCGTTTTATAGGACCATTTGAATAAGCAGTGTAACTTCTTCCATTTTTGTTTAATTTTTGTTTAATTTCTCCCAGCTGCATCTTGTTGCTGTTGTAACTGCAGGGTGAGCAGAGCAGAGCGGCAGCATTAACTTCTGCCTCCTGAATGCTCTAACCAGAGCATCTGCTTGGTTTTCCTGTGCTCTGTATGCACTGCCATTGCTCCAAAGCCTCCTGTCATTAACTCTGGTTCACTGTCCAGGTGAGACAGGATTTTAAACAACATTTGACGGATTGAGTGCTTCAGCAATGTCCTCTGTGCGTAAATTTGAAAAATGTCTTCACATCAGCACCCAAGTAGTATTGGCTCTAAATTATTTGTGGAAATGAAATATTTTCTACCATATTCAGATTTTTTTGTCGTTTAGAAAAAATGACGGTCAGATACAGAAAATAACATGGCTGCTGGTGTTTTTTCAGTGAGACGACAGGTGCGAATATTGGTGATTCCAGGCGGGAATACAGGCGCCTGGAATCGCCTGTATTCCTGGAATTGCCTGCATTCCAGGCGATTCCAGGCGGGACGGCAGGTGAGAGCTCAGGCAGTGTTTCTCCTCCCACAGGAAGCTGTCGGTGGCCCGCCTGCTCCACGCCTGTGAGGAGACGGTGGTGGAGTGGGTGGAGCTAGTGTCAGACTTTCTCCAGCAGGAGTGGTCTGGACGGTTCTGGACCGGCAGAAACCCGTCCCTTCAGAAGAGTTTTCCTTCTGGAAGAACCGTCTGAAGAATTTGCTCTTCATCCAGGACCAGGTGATGATGTGGTCCTGATGATGTCATCCCGATTATGTCACGTTGGCATTCTGACGGCGGCTGTTTGTGTGTTCAGCTGCTGAGCGCCAAAGCCCAGCAGGTGGGCTCCATCCTGAAGGCGGAAGACAGCATCTACTGGGCCGCTCTGCAGAACCTCCAGAGACACGTCCAGGAAGGTAGAGAGTGGCGTCCTCAGGACACATGCATTGGCACCTGTCTGTCCGTCTACCTGTCTGTCCCCTCAGGTGTCCGGGAAGCCGAAGACATCATGCTGCACCTGACCCCGGTCCAGCAGAAGCTCAGCGAGGTGCTGGAGATGGACTTCCATCAGGTACCAGAACCAGCTGCACCTGCTGGCAGCTGATTGGTCCTCAGTCAGCTGACAGAAAGTGTGTCTGTGATTGGCAGCTGAAGGACAACGTGGCAGCGGTGATGGCAGAGGTGGGCCTGCTGTGGACACACTCCGAGTTCTACTGCCGGCCCAGAAGGATCGTGGTTCTGCTGCAGGAGATCTGCAACCTCTACATCCAGCTGGTACTGAAGCCCAGAAGAACCCGAGTGTTATTGTTCCTGGTCCAGCTGCTTCCACTTCTGGTCTGAAGGAGGCGCTGTGGATCTGTGGCTCAACGGGTTTTAATGTTGACAGGAAGCTTGAAAATGTGACTTGCTAGAGATAACAATGTGTTAATGGAAACATTATGGACAAAACTCCAACTACACACATAAATAAATACAGATATACATAAAAAACAAAATAAAAAGCCATTTTTTAGACTGGACTTAAACCTTAATGAACAAACCAGCAAGTGGATCTTAAACCAAACTGCTGGTCACATTTCAAAGTTCATAAATTAAAAGAAATATTTCTCTTGCCCGAAATGCCTCGCTGCAGAAATTCCCCTGCAGCCCTGCTGACCCCACTAGGGACAAAGGTGTAAAGAAAATGGGTGGATGGATATTACATAAAATGGAGTCAGAATATGCATGTGTATAACTAAGTATTATAACAGTATAAAATTGTAGTACCCTAAATTCTGGACCACATGTCGCTACTTTTTCCTGAAACTTTGAACACTGCTGCCTTTGCTAAGCCTCAATGGTATTGGTCATTGTTATGGCAACCAATCCAATATATGTGTCATCTGATAGACACTTGAAAAAATGAAGGACGTGTGCAAAACCATGAATTTAAGAAAAAATTCTTGATAAAAACAATGCAGATACAGAAATGACAAAACAAAATCAATTCTGCAATTCTTTTTCGTTTGTTCCAAAAATACAGGGCAGACACACTCACACACACACACACACACTCACACACACACACACACACACACACACACACACACACACACACACACACACACACACTGGTTTCTAATGTAATGGAAGGCTCAACAGGAAGTGATCTTTTCAGAATAAAACCAAATTTTACAATGCAGCTGATCTGAACCTTTACTAAATATGACAAAAAAAGACAAATAATTGTTCCACTTTAATTATTTATTTAAATGAGATATTTAAATATTTCTTATTTAAGACTTAAGAGTTTTGGCGACTTGGTGCTGATCCTGTAAGCTAAAGGTAGCTAATAGTGAAGCTAGCTAGAAGCTAATTAGCAGAGTCTGACCCCTGCAGAGCGGTGGCACTGAGGCTCGTCTCCACTGGTTCAGAACTTGTTGCTTTATTCCATCAAGATGTCAGCATGTCTCACCTGTCTCACCTGCAGAGCAGGGGCTTCCTCCCTGGACAGGAAGTGATCGGGGTTCTGGTGTCAGAACCCGGCCCGGTTCTCCAGGATATTCGGCTGGTGATTCAGACTCTTCAGGCTCTCAAGTCCGCCTTCTGTGAGCAGCAGACCCAACTGGAGCTCCAGAACCAGGTACTGAGCGGCAGCAGGACCACCTGTCCAGGTGGAACCAGAGTGATGTCATCATTCAGCATGTCTCTGTCCTCCAGGCCACTCCCAGCTGGACCTTCCCATCTCACCTGGTCTTCTTCCACCTGGACACCTTCCTGAACCGCCTGCTCAGCATCCAGGTAGCCCCGCCCTTCACCTGGAGTCGCTCACTTCCTGAAGACTGACTTCGCCCCCTCCATCCAACAGGAAGTGCACTTGGTGACAGTGCGGTTCTACCAGCTGGACCAGGCGGTTCTGACCGGCGCCAGCGGCACTTTGCTGACCGTCGGCATCCAAGGTGTACCAGGACTTCCTGGTCCAGGTGAAGCTGCTGTCGGCCTGCAGCTGCGACCCCACCGACCCGGAGGACCAGGTGAGCCGACCCCCGACCCGCTTCCTGTGGCTGAGCCCTCACTGACCCGCCTCTCTCCCTCCCTCAGACCTTCGAGCTGGAGCTGGACCGGTTCTGGGAGCAGGTTCTGGACCTGGAGACCCGGCTGGTGTCGGTTCTGAGCAAGGCCCTGGAGGACTGCAGCGAGGTGGCGTCTGCTGCCAAGGTACTGCCGCAGACCCGGGTCCGACCAGGGATGCACTGGTCCGGCCTGTTCAGCTGCCATGTGTGAGGTTTATTTCTGTTTCAACTACAAGAATATTGTTTCAAATTCCTGCAGCTGATGATTTGATCCTGATGCGTTAATATGATTTCCTTATTTGTAAAACCAATACCATAAGTTTACAAGACTCAGTATTCCTCATTTTAATGCAAGTGTAAGAAAACAAATGTGACATGTTAGAGGTCGACTTTCAGACTGACGTTTAATAATTATTTTATTGGTCAGTGCGCCAGACTGTTAGCCGTTAGCATGCTACATATCCTAATAAGGTTCTAAATCAATATAATCTCTGCAACTCAGCCAGAGAAAATGAAAAATGTTCCTGCAGATATGAATGAGTCTGATCTCATGAGTCGCGTTGATGTCAAAGAACAACGTGCAAACTTCCAACTTCTTGACAAAAACCAGAATAAGTGTGTGCTAGCAGTCAGTAAAGGGGAAGAGGTTTTCCCTCCGCCCCTGAAGCACCAGGTAGGAGGCGTTGTCATGCCAACCACCTGTTGGGATTTCAAAATAAAGCACATTTAGAAATTTTATGATATTTAAATGAATTTAAAATGGATTACAGCTAGTATAAGATTCTTTGTATTGTTTCAGCATAAATAATGAAACTTAATTCTGACAGAGTGTGTAGGGATGAAAAACATTTTCTGCTTCTGTCCTGCCAGTTCCCCTTCAGCCGGGTCACCGGACCTCCGGGTCCTTGCTGACCCGCGCGCACTCACAGGCTTTCTGTGTGGATTTGCAAAATAATGATTGGACAAGATGATCCCAGCCGTCTGAACGCGGCACCAAGATCGCCAGAACCAGAACCGGGTTAAACCGGAACAGGCGTTCTGTTTATCTGTGCTACCCGTCAATCCGTCCTACCTTATGCATTGACACGACGTCACAATCTGCTGAGTCAGCAGTCACAATCTGCTGAGTCAGCAGTCACAATCTGCTGAGTCAGCAGATTTCTTCTCAATCCGTCCTGCCTGTGGAAGTTTAGTTCAGGTGTTTTATTTCATCACAGATGACAATAATCTTTATTTCATTGATTTTCTTTCATGAAGCAGCTGGATTACTAGCAGCTTGTCAATGGAATGATGGTTTAGTTTGCTCTGCACTGTCCTTACTGTAAACAAGTTATTATTTGGTGGTTAATCAGGACTAAATATGTTTTGGTTTTTTGTCCCTATACGTTAAAATATAGTTTAATTCCACTCTTGTCGACTAAACTTGCTAAATAGATGTTAGCGATACGATGTGAAGCTGTAATATCAGTGCATATGAATCATATCCCATCATTTCAGTGACACGTTGTGGCTGATGCTGATAACATATAAAGTATTAATGCACAAAAACCGTTCCAGTGATCTGGATTAGTGTTTAATTCCAATAAAAGCTGTTTCCATCTGATCCGGTTTTATTCTAACAAACGCCTCTGTGTCTCAGATATTAACAGCTAGATATTGTAGGAAAGGATCAGCTGCATCTGCAGCTTTTCATTTCAAACTTTGGTAGGATATTCAGATGAAGGAAGTGATCTGCTTCTGGTTTCATCATCACATCAATTGTTCAATGCTAAGCTAACCAGAACTGCTAAGCTTCCAGTCAACTAAATGATCCAATTATTGAACATTAACAAGCCGCTGCAGTTTGTTTGTAAACATGGCGGTAGCAGCTTAGACGGGTAGCACGGACAGACAGAGCCAGCTGTCGATCCGTGCTGCGGTAGGGAAATCTGACGGGGTAGCTCAGATGGTCGGCGGTCCAGCTCATCCTGTTCGCTCTCAGCTTCCTGTTGCTCCGAGTCGGGAAGGTTTGGGATAAACCTTTACGACAGACGCCGCCATGCAGTGCTATGTGGGGCTTTTATTATGGCGGGGCGCGTAGAGTTAGACTGAATAGATGGGACTCCATTTGTACAGGCCGGCCGGGGTAGAATCGGGTCACAGCGTCTCCAGTGCTGACTGAGCCTCTGTGACCCGACCGGATCCGGCTGGTTCTGACCTGGCTGTGTGTTCCAGGTGGTGAAGATGTTCTGGTTCTTCCTGGACCGGCCCCGGGTCCAAGACCAGCTGCCTTCCTGCCTGGCCCGGCTAGAGGATCAGGTTCTGGCAGACCTGGACCGGACCGAGCTGGAGTTCTACAGCCAGAAGGAAAAACCAGAGTTGTGGTTCCGGTTCTGCCCGGCTAGCGCCGCCCGGCTCTGCTGGAACCGCCAACTGCGACGAACCCAGGAGACTCTGAGGAGCTTCAGAACCATCCAGAACCTGTAAGGCCCAATCAGAACCCCTGCAGTCCGGACGCGCTCCAGGACAGGTTCTGCTACGACTCTTTTTCAGGAGTGGGAGCGTGGCCTCGGCGCCGGTGCTGCTGCAGAGGGCGGAGCAGGTGGTGGAGCTGCTGCAGGACTTCAGAACCACGGCCCGGTCCGAATGGAGCGCCAGGCTGGAGGAGGACTGCAGTTCCGTCCTGAACCAGAAGCTGGTCCAGATCGACCCGCCGACCCACCTGAAGGTGGCCGGCAGGAAGCAGGTAGGTCAGAACCAGAACCGCGGTGGCTGGAGCAGAGTTCCAACCAGTCCCATCTCAGCAGAGGTCAAAGGTCAAGGAAGGACGTCTGAAACCAGACCGTGGAACAAGAATGCTCAAAGCACCTGGATGAGTTGTCGCTCCGCCCAGTTTAGTGGTGAGGCCCTCCTTCTGCAGATATTACCCACAATGCAATGCGGCAGCAGTAAACTGACGTGAGGAGCCCTAAACCTCTTTATCTTGTTCATTGTCGCGGGCGGGCGGAGCGGCGGGCGGACTTTGATCAGAAATTGATCAAAGTCCAAAAACGACAATATGCCGACGATAGACGGATATGACAAAAATCACGACTGGTCAAATATTTGGAACATTAAATAATAATAATAAATAGATGTTAAATATCCCCCAGCAAAGCCAGTTTAAAGCAGCAGGACGACCTAATGGATCATCAGGCCACAGCGCCACCTGGAGGCTCTAAACCTAAAGACAACACATAAATTGTGCAACAAATGATTGTCTGAGTGGACAGAAAACCAGCCAGACTGATGAAAACACCATGAATGAACTTTAATCTTCTTGTTATTAGCAGACAAATGAATTTAACATCCAACAGAAACTGGAAACCATCATCAGTATTTATGGCTCCTGATTGGCTGATTGGCTGCTGGAAAACTAACAAATTCACCTGATCCAAAACGATCTGCTCTAAAGCGCGGTGAGGATTGGTCCGGACCGTAAACGGACCCCATGTCTTTATTTCATCAGAAAGAAAACATGGCCACCGCTGAAGAAAGGCTCAGACTGTGATCCGGTCCAGGTCTGTGTCTGCCGGGCCGGGTCCTGATCCCGACCCGACTTGAAGCTGCTGCATGTGCAAACCTTTGGGTGTCGGTTCTGATCTGCAGCCTTAGATTTGGTCCAGATCTGAACCTTTGTCTGCGTGTGAACACAGCGAGACGTCAGTCACTGATCGTCAGAGTTGTGTGCAGCCTGTCCATGTGTGGCGGGTCCAGGGCTGTAAAGTGGTTCCGGTTCCCCCAGGTTTTGGCTTCTCTGCCAACAACTCCAGAACATTCTTGTGTTGTTGAGTTGAGGAACGTTCTCTGACTCCGTCTCCTCCTGTGCAGCTGGAGGTGGTGCTGCAGCAGCTGCGCTACGTGAGCAGAGAGGGCGGCGTGGCGCTGCGCCCCGACGCAGACCGCCTCCTGCTGGCCAGAGAGACGACATCACACACACCTTACTCCTGCTGGACCAGACCGTGTCCTGCTACAACCAGGTTCCTGCTGCTGCGCCTCCTGCGCACACAGGAGGAGACGCGTCATGTGACGCTTCGTTCTTCTTTCAGGTGGTGGGCGGGGCCATGGAGGCGGAGCTTCCACTGATCCAGAAGCAGCTGCAGCAGCTGAATGACACTCTGAGTGAACTGCAGAACAAGACGTGGATCTATAAAGGTGCAGTGGCGGCGGCGGCGGCGGCAGGCGGTGCTGCTGCGGCGGCAAGGCGGTGCCATGACCCCTGTGTGTGTCCAGGTATGCAGCAGCAGAGCCAGCAGGTGTTGGCCGTTCATTCAAGCATCACAGAAGCTCGAGCCAACATGGACGCCATGAGAAGCATTACACAGGTGAGTTAAACAGACTAACATCACCCAGGTGAGCTGAGTCACACCCCTCTGCTCTGAGCTGTGTTTGTTCAGGGGTGGGCGGAGCTTGACCTTCTGCTGCGTTCAGATGATTCTCTGCTGCAGAGCAGCGTCAACGATCACACCTGCAGCGGCATCAAGGCAGACGGGGAGCAGCTGCTCACCCTGACACAGGTAGGACCGAACACCTGGCAGGACGGAGAGAAGGGGGCCGGGCGCTGATGAGGACGGCTCACCTGTTCTCAGGTAAACAGGGATCTGTACAGAGCTGAGGAGGCTTCTGAGGCCTGGACCGGGTACCTGGACTACATCGACGACCGAGTCCAAGACGGCCTGCTGCAGCTGCTGCATAGAGCCCTGCGCTTCCTGACCGACAGCATGAACACACAGGTGCACACACCTGCAGGTCACACACACCTAGAGGTGACTTCTGTAAAAGTACTGGTGCTCGTCTTTCTCTGCAGAGTGGTGGCGCCGCCCTGCTGGCCGTCTCTCTGCAACTGCGGGACTCCAGAGGACTCGTGTTTGAGCCGTCGATCGACGACGGCCCCACCGCCTTCCTGAAAACCATCATCAGGGATGTTTACGGCGCCGGCGCTCTGGTTCCCAGGATCTCTGTCAGTCGCCACGGTGACTACCAGGTGAGTCGGACGTCTGTCCGTCCGACACGACCTGCGGCTCCGTCACTCCGCTCCTCACCTGTGTTACAGGAGAGCCTGCGGCAAAACCCGGAGCTGTGCGCTCTGGAACAGGAAGTGATGGCCAGGTTGCTGCAGATGAAGGAGGAGGCGGAGAAGCTGAGGGCGGAGCTGAACAGGTACGCTCACCTGTGGCTCAGTGACAAGCGGGCCGTGTTCCAGGAGTTCCTGGACTACGGCAAGCCGCTGGCAGTCGGAGAGGTTGAGGCTGAGAAGAACCCGCCGAGCCTGAAGGACTTCCAGAGAGAGGTGGTACACCTGAACACACCTGAACAGTCAGTGTTGTTCTGTCTGGAGTCTTACCTGAGCCAGCTGTGGTTCTGTGGGCTCCGCCCCCTTCAGATCCAGGTGCTGCTGACCGTCAGCTCAGAGGTGTCTCACCTGGATGAGGGCTTGGTGCTGCAGGGCTGGTGCAGGTGGACATGCGTCCCTTCATCACCTCCCTGCTGTCCATCATCCTGGACTGGAAAGACATGTACACCGACTTCCTGCTGGAGTCGGCCACCAACAGGTGAGGTCCCCTGAGTGGGTTCTGATCGGTTCTGGTGGGAGCTGACCTCCCCTCCCCCCCGCCTCTCTGTGTTCAGCCTCCAGCAGGAGACCCAACCCAAAGACCGAGGCTCCACCTCCTTCGACCTGACGGACACCATCCTGCTGCTGGAGGCTGCCGGGGTGGAGCTGCCCGAACACCTGGCCGCCAAGCTGCAGGTAGTGACATCACAGTGACATCACAGCTGCTAGGCGCTCTGTCGGAACAGAGCTTGGGCCACTCGTGGTAGCGATGGGAACAATAGTTCATTTGAGTCACTGAATCAGTTCATTAAAGTGATCCGTTCAGCAGAATTCAGTTATAACAATCAAAGCACATCGTAAAAGTCAAACAGAGCAGCGCCTCTCCCTGGACAGTGCTGGTACTGCACCACGCCCACTGGCAACCCACTGGCGGCCATGTTGGAGGTGGGAACTGGGAGACGTTTGCCAGACTCCAGTTGATCTTTTTTCCAGTTCTGACTACAACTGGAACGCAGCAAATATCCTTGTTAAAGTAATCGGCCTGTCGTCCTCATCAGCTTCCCCTGAACCCAGGAGGGCCCGGTAGAACCTGGAGCTCCAGGCGGCTGGGTTCCATCAGCTGCTTCCTGTCTAACTTCCTCTTCCTGTCTCTTCCAGTGAGCGGCCAGCGCCTGACGTTCCTCCAGCCACCACCAGGGGCGGCGCAGAGACTCAATAAAAACACAAACATAAACCTGGTCTCCATTGACCCTCTGCAGAACGAACTGGGGTGGAGGAGCAGCAACACAGTTGGTACTGGGAACCAGTACAACAAAAAGAACCAATAGAACAACAAAAACAATTGAATCAGTGAAACCAGTGGATCCAATGGAACCAATAGAACCAGTGGATCCAATGGAACCAGTGGATCCACTGGAACCAGTAGAACCAATAGAACCAGTGGATCCAATAGAACCAGTGGATCCAATAGAACCAGTGGATCCAATAGAACCAGTGGAACCAGTAGAACCAATGGAACCAGTGGATCCAATAGAACCAGTGGATCCAATGGAACCAGTGGATCCAATGGAACTAGTGGATCCAATAGAACCAGTGGATCCACTGGAACCAGTAGAACCAATAGAACCAGTGGAACCAGTAGAACCAATGGAACCAATAGAACCAGTGGAACCAATAGAACCAGTGGATTCAATGGAACCAGTAGAACCAGTGGATTCAGTAGAACCAATAGAACCAGTGGATCCAATAGAACCAGTGGATTCAATGGAACCAGTAGAACCAATAGAACCAGTGGAACCAATAGAACCAGTGGATCCAATAGAACCAGTGGAACCAGTAGAACCAATAGAACCAGTGGAACCAATAGAACCAGTGGATCCAATGGAACCAGTAGAACCAATAGAACCAGTAGAACCAATAGTACCAGTGGATCCAATGGAACCAGTGGAACCAATAGAACCAGTGGAACCAGTAGAACCAATAGAACCAGTAGAACCAATAGTACCAGTGGATCCAATGGAACCAGTGGATCCACTGGAACCAATAGAACTAATAGAACCAGTGGAACCAATAGAACCAGTGGAACCAATGGAACCAGTGGATCCAATGGAACCAGTGGATTCAATGGAACCAGTGGAACCAATAGAACCAGTGGATCCAATGGAACCAGTGGATCCAATGGAACTAGTGGATCCAATAGAACCAGTGGATCCAATGGAACCAGTGGATCCACTGGAACCAGTAGAACCAATGGAACCAGTAGAACCAGTGGAACCAATAGAACCAGTGGATCCAATAGAACCAGTAGAACCAATGGAACCAGTGGATCCAATGGAACTAGTGGATCCAATAGAACCAGTGGATCCAATAGAACCAGTGGAACCAATGGAACCAGTGGATTCAATGGAACCAGTAGAACCAGTGGATCCAATGGAACCAGTGGATCCAATAGAACCAGTGGATCCAAGGGATCCAATAGAACCAGTGGATCCAATAGAACCAGTGGATTCAGTAGAACCAATAGAACAAGTGGATCCAATAGAACCAATGGAACCAGTGGATCCAATAGAACCAGTGGATTCAATGGAACCAGTAGAACCAATAGAACCAGTGGATCCAATGGAACCAGTAGAACCAATAGAACCAGTGGATCCAATAGAACCAGTAGAACCAATGGAACCAGTGGATCCAATGGAACCAGTGGATTCCATGGAACCAGTAGAACCAGTGGAACCAATAGAACCAGTGGATCCAATGGAACCAGTGGATCCAATGGAACTAGTGGATCCAATAGAACCAGTGGATCCAATAGAACCAGTGGATCCACTGGAACCAGTAGAACCAGTGGAACCAATGGAACCAGTGGATCCAATGGAACTAGTGGATCCAATAGAACCAGTGGATCCACTGGAACCAGTGGATCCACTGGAACCAGTAGAACCAGTGGAACCAATAGAACCAGTGGAACCAATAGAACCAATGGAACCAGTAGAACCAGTGGATCCAATAGAACCAGTGGATTCAATAGAACCAGTAGAACCAGTGGATCCAGTGGATCCAATAGAACCAGTGGATCCAATAGAACCAATGGAACCAGTGGATCCAATAGAACCAGTGGATTCAATGGAACCAGTGGATCCAATAGAACCAGTGGATCCAATGGAACCAGTGGATCCAATAGAACCAGTGGATCCAATAGAACCAGTGGATCCAATGGAACCAGTGGATCCAATAGAACCAGTGGATCCAATAGAACCAGTGGATTCAATGGAACCAGTAGAACCAATAGAACCAGTGGATTCAATGGAACCAGTAGAACCGGGTCGGCATTCAGAGTCGGACTCAGCGGGATAAATTAGTGATTTATTCTGGATTAGAGCGGACAGGAGGAACTGAGGCACAGTGATGAGAAGTTACAGAGAAACGTCGGCTAAAAAATAAAGATCAGAGTCCTTGTCGTGCTCCACGTCTCCATGGAACAGAATGTGCAGGCCCACGGCGGCGGGCCAATCAGAGAGCAGCTAGCGGCGGTAGACGCCGAAGGCCACCAGGCTGAGGAAGATGGTGATGCCGACCAGCGAGGCGGTGGCCGGCGCCGTGAAGAACTGCCGGTACTGGATCTGACAGTACCACAGCACGGACAGCATCAGAACCAGCAGCGGGACCATCAGGCTGCCGACGTTCAGCGCCACCTGGACCTGGTCGGCGGGCCGGGGGACCCCCGCCGCCCGGGCGGCGCGCTCTGGGAGATGTGGCAGTGCAGGACGCAGTTATGGGCCAGGTTGAGCGAGGCCAGCGTCTGGGCGTCGTCCTGCAGCAGCTGGCCCTGGTAGATGAGACGCACCTGCTGCTCCTGACCCGCAAAGTAGGTTCTGGAGGGACAGAGGAAGCAGAACTGGGTCAGAACCGCACAGAGTGAGACCTCTTGGCTTGTCACCAGCTTTGTGTATCCAGGAAACGGCAGCAGGTCACTTCCTCATTGAAATACTGATACAGATGTGATATTTAATAATGTGTGATGATGTTTCAGCTGCTCCGACTGAAGAAAAGCTTTTTGTTTTTCATTTGCAGCAGCAGGGTTCACGTTCCAGCTCGTCAGAAAAGACGAGGAGTTTTATTTCCTGGCCAGTCGGAGCTCAGCTTGTGTTTCAGTACGAGGAAAACTGTAGAAAATAAAGTCATGATTTTAGGACACGTCACCATCAAAAGAGACAAAATACTGAATCTTTCAACACGTCAGACAGAAATAATCAGCTGAACGACTTTAAAAGATTCATTTCAAAGAAAGAACCAGACGTGCTGAGCTGAGCAGGTCAGATCACTATTCAAGCTTTTTTACTCTAATTTACTATTAATGAAGTCATTTGACTATTTAGAGGATTTAACAACTTTCTTCCAGCATCTTTAATCTGTCACTATAACTATGCTTGTGGAACTTTCCTTGTATTTGACAAGAAATCTCAGCCTGGCATAAAACTTGCTTTACTGACATCTGCTGACATTTTTCCTGTCAAACTTTCCTTTGACAGCAAATACATTTCTAGGGCCTGGTCCTAATCCCCGTCACTAGAGGTGATCAGGATGTTTTGGTTACAAACAGCAAACTGGACACAACGTCTGTGTCAAAATGTCAACATCCAAGATGGCCGACTGGTTTAGACCTTTACTGCTAAAAAACATTACAAATGTACAGTAATATTTTTGCTTTCCAAAGTCGTTGCTGGAGATATTTGGCTGTTTTAATGTGTTTTGTTATGACCTGTTGAATATGGAGCAAAATTCAATATAAATCAAACAGGTCACAGAGCTTTATTAGAGTAAGTAGAGTTGTGTGTGTAACAGTTGTTAGTCGTGTATGTTTGATACACCGAGGAATAAATGTGCAGCTAATGTGAACCTGCGACTGCCTCCTTGCCCAACCACAAAGGGAATCGAACCTCCAACCACTTGAGCCTCAGAGCGAGAAGCAGCTTCCTGTTTCCCCACGACGTTCAGAGGTTCAGCAGGAAAGGTTAACACAGGAGATGAGATGTTTTTCTGATATGTTTCTGATTGACTTGCTGATGTGAGCATGTTGGCGTAATTTTTGTGTGTTCAATAAAATAATACAAATTGTGGTAATACGCTTCGCCAAAGTCCTCCTGAATGCAGCAAACAGGAAGGGCGGAGACATGCCGACCAATTCCTGATTTGGAAATGGGACTAAACCATTCAAATTATTAGTAATTATGGCATTATTGACACTATATAAAATAACTTCTCCTATAAAACACCACAATGTTTCATTTTCATAAAGCGGTGGAGCTAACTAAATGACCTAAACAAAACCTGAAAGTAAAGTGGTCCCAGTCTCTCTGATGGCCAACCTGTTGAAACTTTGGCAAATGTGAAATATTTTGGACAATCAGCTCAGCTCTATGTTTTCTGATCTGTCCTCAGAGACGCCATGTTTCTCTGGCTTCACTAGAGTTTGTGTACGAGACGATGTTGGGTTTGAACTTTTCACCTCCACATCTTGGTCGTGTAATTATATTAGTTGTTACCACCCCACACCACCAGAGGCAGCAGCAGGCCAAAAAGATGCGACTGAGGAGCAGATTTAGAAATTCACCGAAAGCTACAGAATGTGTTAAACTGTGAGCTGCATCGAATGATAGAGAGAAGCTCAAACAGAAGCTGAGAGTGAAAATCCTTCCAAAAGGTGAAAGTATATCACAGATTTATAAAGAAAAACGGGAGGGTGACATAGGAAACAGCGCCCCCTTCACTTCCGGACTGCAATGGTCCCATTTCCATATAAGGTCTGAGCGTGACAGCGGTTCGTCGCCCTTCCTGTTAGCTGCAGCCAGGTGAACTTGCCTGGATGCGGGTTTAGCATAAGTACAGAAATAGGACCAGAAAGGGGCGGGGCTAAAGCATGAAGCAGCGAATCGGGACGCCATTCGCACTGAAACCCTCCAGCATGTACACACATCTGAAGGACAGGAAGGAGGAATGAGTAGGAAGGACTTTGACTGGGCCAAACATCCAATCCTGAATTAATCAGCTGCTTCTACTGGCTTGATTAGTTTGAACACTGCTGCCACCTAGTGGCCGGAGGTTTGTTTTTCAATCACGCTTGAGTAAAGACGGTAATAAAGTCCAGCACTAGAGTCACTGATTTGTTATAACATGACTCTGTATGAAATGCAACACAACTAAGATGGCCGCCGTCCTGGACAGCTTCCCAAACATGAAACATTTACCAAAATTAATTCTATAACAAAGATGAAGAGCAGAGAATCCAAAACTCTTTGTTGTCTGACATGTGGAGTAAATGCTCAAGACTGTTAACTGACGCCGTCTGACGAAATGCACAAAAAACAACCAACCAGAGCCAGGACCTGGAGCTTAGTGGTGTCAATCATCCTGATGTACTAGCTGCTAAATATGCCATAGGCAGAGAAACAACTTGTTTATCCACCATCACGTGTGTTATCAGGAAAAAGCTGTAGGGAAGCGGGGGGTGGAGGTGGCAGCGCCACTTAGAGGATGATTGGCAACACTAAGACCCTCTTGCTCTGATTGGTGCTCGGTCCGTACCGTTTGATGTAGCCAATGGTGTCGTGCGGTTGGACCTGGGCCGTTCTCTCCGTGTCGTTGAGGAACTTCAGGCGGAGCACCATGCTCCGCTCTGCTCCCCGCCGCCTCGCCCCGTCTCCCGCCTCGCGCTCCGCCTCCTCCTGGAGGGAGGGGCCAGTAGGCGGGGCCTCGGACGGAGCACCATCACCCACAGAGGCGGTGGAGGAGAGGGGCGTGTCCTGTGGGGAGAGGGCGTGGCCCGGGAACAGCTGCTCCAGGGGCTCGCGGGTGCGGGTGGAGACCCAGGCGAGCAGCAGCACCATCAGCAGCAGCAGCGAGCCGAACAGCAGCGTCACCTCGTCCCCACGCCTTCGATCACAGCCATCGCCGGCAGCGCACCTGAACAAGGGACGGCTCAGGTGAGCAGCACAAACACATACAGGCACTGTATCGTTTGTGCATACAGTGCATACAGTGCCTGTATGCATTTGTGCATACAGTGCATACAGGCTCTGTATGCACTGTATGCATTTGTGCATACAGTGCATACAGGCTCTGTATGCACTGTATGCACTGTATGCATACAGGCACGGTGCCTGTATGCGTTTGTGCATAAAGGCACTGTATGCACAAACGCATACAGTGCATACAGTGCCTCTATGCGTTTGTGCATACAGTGCATACAGTGCCTGTATGCATTTGTGCATACAGTGCATACAGGCTCTGTATGCACTGTATGCATTGTGCATACAGTGCATACAGTGCCTGTATGCACTGTATGCATACAGGCACGGTGCCTGTATGCGTTTGTGCATAAAGGCACTGTATGCACAAACGCATACAGTGCATACAGTGCCTCTATGCGTTTGTGCATACAGTGCCTGTATGCATACAGTGCCTGTATGCGTTCGTGCATACAGTGCATACAGTGCCTCTATGCGTTTGTGCATACATGCCTGTATGCACAAACGCATACAGTGCCTGTATGCATACAGTGCATACAGGCACTGTATGATACAGTGCCTGTATGCATACAGTGCCTGTATGCATACAGTGCATACAGGCACTGTATGCACTGTATGCACAAAGTGCATACAGTGCCTCTATGCGTTGGTGCATACAGTGCCTCTATGCATTTGTGCATACAGTGCATACAGTGCCTGTATGTATGGTGATGGAACCTCTGGTTCCATCACCATGGCGACTGAAGCACGTTACGATCATTAGAACCGGATTCAACAGAACCAGGAGCAGGTCAGACCTCCAGAGAAATCAGGAATGTTCTGAGTCAGAACCTGGGGGGTGAGTAAAACGGTACCGATACGGCTACAGTGCGTACTGATACACCGTATCGGTACAGTGTGTATCGGTACAGTGTGTATCGGTACAGTGTGTATCGATACAGTGTGTATCGATACAGTGTGTATCGATACAGTGTATCGGTACAGTGTGTATCGGTACAGTGTGTATCGGTACAGTGTGTATCGATACAGTGTATCGGTACAGGCCGTATCGGTACAGTGTGTATCGGTACAGTGTGTATCAGTACAGTGCGTATCGGTACAGTGTGTATCGGTACAGTGTGTATCGGTACAGGCCGTATCGGTACAGTGTGTATCGGTACAGTGTGTATCGGTACAGGCCGTATCGGTACAGTGTGTATCGATACAGTGTGTATCGGTACAGTGTGTATCGATACAGTGTGTATCGATACAGTGTGTATCGGTACAGTGTGTATCGGTACAGTGCATATCTGCAAAGGAGCGATACAGCTGCAGTTTGAGTCAGGATAGATCTTCTCGCAGCAGGTGCCTAAATCTTAATCTGTTTCTAAATGTCTATTATTTTTCATTTCAAATAGTTTCTGATCTCTCCTGGAGCTCCTCGTTTTTGTCAGCAGGCCTCACTCCGCTCTCCGCCATGATTAACGCGTCTGCTGATCACAAAATGTCCCAGTCAGAAGCAAACGGAGAAAATCTAGTGGATGTCTGATGTTTTTTTGCTCAATTAAAACACATCACACCCCGAAAACAACTGATTATTAACTTACAGCCAAAGTCTTGAGTTTTTGTGCGTTTGATTTACGGACTGGGACATTTCACACAGGCGGTCCACAGACATAAAACATGCAGGGGAGAGAACAATAAATCGCTGCTCGTTTCTGACCTTAAAATTAAACAGTCAATTATTTTTTAATTCAATCAAAACATGATAAAAGTGCAGAAAACAATGAATTTGTTCAGCAGAAGAGACGAAACGTTAGATGAATCGTTCATCAATGTTTACACATCCCATAATTTTGGTCACTCAGGTTAAAGTGGTTATTTGCTACAACCTGCACTAAAATACAGATATAGTAACAATTAAAAGTAACAAACAGCTTTTCAGGAGAACATGTTGGCCTCAAACTGTTATTAAAGCAGCAAATGTATAAATACAGATGCAGCAGAAAATATTCTGTGTATTTTTAATGGACATTAATGTCCAATGTCTTGCTTGTCCTTCTTGTCTGACAGATTAAATTATTGAGTCCAAACTAAGATCAATGGAAATGATAGAAACTGATAAAACTTTACATTTGTTGTTAAATATCCAAGTTTACAATATTTGATGTTTTCTCATATTTGCAGGTTCATGTTTTCTAATCAACTTAAAGTAGAAATTAGACAAACTGGAAATGCAGATAATTAGTTTCCACCAATTAAGCAGAACCAAAACATGAAAGTCCCAAAAAGCTTCGATCAGAACCGAACCGGAACCAGGAGAGGTTCTGCTGATCCAGAACACCAACCTTTTCTGTGTCCAGGCTGTTCCGAACCTCCGCTAGAGTTCTGCTGACCGGACCGGACCGGACCGAACCTGTTCCTCAGCTTCAGGACGTCTCCGGGTTCCGGACCTTATTCATGGTGGCTGGTTCTGGTCGGTGTAAAGCTCCCGGTTCGGACTCTTTTTCCGGTGATGTGCTGTTTGGACCGCTAGCTGGCCCAGCTGGGAGACTCGGACCGAACCCGCAGAGTTCTGACCTGCTCTTACCTGAGCACACCTGAGCAGTTGGCTAAAGCCGGAGCTAACGGGCAACAACGGCACCGGAAGTAGTTCCGGACCGGTCCGACCCAAGTTCGGACCAGAGGGGAACCAGAACTCACCGTCTCACAAAAGAAGCTTCATAGCAGCGAATTTAGCCTCCAAGCTAACAGGCTAATCTGCGCTGCTGCCGCTTCTTCTGCTGTGTTGTTCAGACAGACCGCAGGCGACTCTTCGCCCCTGCTGGTCACTGCCTGCAACAACAGCCTCTGATTCACCTGACAGCCTCGTCACTGTATTTATTGCTTTTTATGAAGACGTAAACTCCGCAGTTTGACCATTATGGCTCCGGTCTGACCATTATGATGAACCGCTAGAACGGTTCTGAGGCCCGGTTCTGGTGTACAGCTGCAGAGGCTCCATCATGAATGATCTCTGGTTTTTTTGTTTAAAATCCTGCACTATTTTTATAATTTGCCTCCTGTTCTGTTCTTGTCGTTTTGTTTTTTTCCTGCCTTCATTGGACTGTTTGTACCTCACCAAGTCATAGACAAGTCAACAAGTCTGTTTGTCATTAATGGAGAAAAAGCTTTAATGTAATCAGCCGGAGCAACAGGGGGCAGCAGCGAGCTGGAGCCTCACGAGGTCAGAGTTCATCACAGGTAGAAATAAATAGGGACCAGCAGAGGTTCGGGTTTATTAATGGGTTCAGTGATTAGAGACCAAACCGCTTATGCTACAGCTGCGCATGCGTGAACAACACAGTTCGTTCACCCCGGTGCATTATGGGTCGCAAAAGCTGCAGAAGATTGAGAAGATGTCTGGATGATGATGATGATGATCATCATCATCGTCATCATCACTCAGTGACCCGGTTCGGACTCTAAAGTTCCGGTTCTATTTGTGTTGTTCAGGAGCAGAAAGTCTTAGAACCGCAGGTTCACCATGCGGACCCGCCATGGAACCAGAACCTGGTCTGGTTCCTGGTGGACTTCCACCGTCTGGGTCCAGAACCACCAGGAGGTTCTGAGCAGTGTGGCCCCGGCCTGCTGTCCTCTCGGCGGCCGCCTTCCTCTCTGCCTCTGGGCCGGGGATCCGCTCCGGCCCGAGCCGCAGGGAGGCTCTGTTCCCCGGATCCGTCGGCCTGTCCCCGTCCGGTCCGCGGGCCCTCGTGGCACATATCTGGACCGGGACCAAACCGAACCAGAGAGAGTTTGAAGCTGTGTTATGCCAGCAGCGGGGCTGGCTGCAGCTCTGTCCGCGGCTCTGGTTTCATCCTCCGCCTTTGTCTCATGTTTTCCCCGGAGGTCCTCCCCCTGCGGCGCGGGGCGGAGTTTCACACCGAGCGAGACGCTCCTTTTGTCGGATTCGTTTCGAACTGACTCCCCGGGGTTACGGGCAAAAAACAGACTCTAAGAAAGGCTCAGAACCAGCCGAACCGGCACGGTTCTGTTCGGGAACCATCCGGGAATCCAACAGAACCATCAGGTAAGCGAAGGTTTCGTATTTTAAACGAATTTCGGTTTTTCTGCTCGGTTGTCCCCGAGTCCACGGAACATTCATGGCTTCGCAGTGAGGCTTTCTGGGGAAGCGACGTCGATCCTTCCCGCTGCGACCCGAAAGCAGCCTGGCTCCAGGAATCGGGTCGGTTCGGCCGGGGGGAACCGCAGATGGTGCGTTCCAGAACCTTTCAACAGCATTCCAGGTCATTTCAGACCGTTTCTGCTGGTTTCTGCTGCAAGAGGATTATCGGCTGCACATGTCGGAACCGGCGGTTCTGTGGAGATTAAACCGCAGAAACGGTTTAATCTCCGCAGTTTGGCCGCTTTTACTCCTAATTTAGACAGACTCCCGTGCGCCTTCCAGCGACAGCTACGTGCTGACTCCTGAGGAGGAGGGACGCCATTACCGGGCAGCTGCAGCCAGGCGGCCCGCTCAGTCCGCGGGGCCCCGGGCGGGCTCCTGAAGGGCCCTTGTTGGCCCCCAGAGCTCGGTGGAGACCCGCACCCGTCAGCACAGCAGGTCCCGGTTCAACAGAAAACCCGCATGGTTTATCCTAAACAGAACCAGAGCCGGTCCGGTTCAGAGCGACACGGAGTGGAGCGTCCAGCTGCTGCTGCATCAGCCAGAGCGCTGCTGCTCGGTCCTGCCCCCTGCCGGCCAGCCGCTGCACCACCTCCTCCACCAGGCCTGCCCCGACCCAAAGGGAGGTTCTGGAGGGTTCTTCGTGAAACTCTGCTCATCTAAAAGTGTCAGTTATTTGTTCTGAAAGATTTTGTTCAGTGAACTAAAACAAAATTCAAATCATGATTCTGGCAGAAAAACATGTTCAACCTGAAGGACAGGTATGTGTGTGTTTGT